CGATGAGACCTGTCCAGTATGGTTGAACCTCCGGCATAGCTCTCATCCTCCTCAGAGCACGCAAGCCCCACAACCACGTCAAGGTAGTGCCTCACTGGGGGTATTATTATTATGTAGCAGGATTTAGTTTCTCTTGTGAAAGAATTAAGTTTATTCGCCTAAGAAAATAAAATCAGTGTTCAGCTGCATCTATGAGAAGAGAAAGCTTGTCTGGCAAACATTTCAAACTGGGAGTTATGGATGCCATCCAATTACAAAAGGACTTCAGTTCACTCAGTGGGATTTCCCCTTGCTCTATTCTTCCTGCACTTTTTACGTACCACCAAACTCTGCTCCAAAAAATCCTCCACCACTCTATTCTGCTGGCAATATGTTTGGCCAGTTGGATGGAAATAACTAGAAAGAATCTGATATATAGGAAAATCTCACCTTTCAGATACCTGTATTTATTTTTACATCACAAAATTATCTCTATTTCTAATCTTACAGGCTCAACACATTTCTGATTATATAAGTGGTATGCCTATGTGTAATAGATATTCATGATTCATTCTGTTGCCAAGTTTTGTTACATGTTGCATGTGCGAATAAAAAAACAGCTTGTAAAAGGAATAAAGAAATATCTTTTTAAAGTTTTTTCTAACATTTGAAAAAAACTTACCTATAAGTTATGTGGCAAGAGTGATGAATCCAAATGAGTTTATTAAATTTCTGACGGCCACTGGAATTCAGCTGTAACCCTACATGAAAACTGTGATCAGTTTCTTGCACAGGGACACGACAGAAATATCTGAACTTGTGATAGTCAATTGGTTTCTACATAATAAACAAAAAAGGAATACGCTGTCAAGAATATGCAGCAAAAGATAGCTACCAAATCTGTACACTAGGGTAAGAAGATAAATGTTACATTTCCAAGACATTTTCATTTCTGCAAAATATTCTGGTACAAAATCAGTCATAATCAACAGTGTCCTATGATAATATATATAATCAAAATACAATAATCATATTGTGGGAAATTATAAAGACAAACACATTTTTCTCTGAATGAAAATCAGCATTCATATAGTCTTAGAAGAAATTGATATAGAAACATAAATGTATTTTTCAACAGTTAGCAATAAAAAATGTAACATGGTATTTAAAGAGAATATAAGCATCCCACATCTAAAACTACACTTCTAGATGCTGATAGTGAAAATATTAAGAATCCATAAAAATTACTGGGTGGGAAAAAACAGAAGAAAAGTCCTTTATTTAATTTCCACTATTCCTAACCTTCAATTTCACCTGAACTTTCAACCCTTCCTTTCGGTCTTTTCTTGTTCACCTTCTAGCCCTTAATTCCAACCTTCCATGCCTCTATAAGGTGGGAAAAAAAGAAAATACATTTACAGGTAGTCCTCAACTTACGACCACAATTGGGACTGGAATTTCCATCACTAAGCAATGCGGTCGTAAAGTGAGATGCCACATGACCGCATCATTTAGCAACCACAACCCCAGCAGTCTCAGTTGCCATCATTAACTGAGAATCGCAGGTTGTTAAGCGAGTACTTTCCCCAATCCAAGCCATTCTGGGCTTGGTCCCTCCCAGCCCTCTCAGTAAGGTAAGGGACTGCCTTCAACTCCCCCCACATGCCTATCTCCCTATCTCTGCCCTTCTGGCTGCCCTGCATCCTGCCTTATGGGGTAGCAAGCAGCCCCAGAACTGTGTGGTTCTGAAGCTGCTTGCCACGCCCTGGGAAGCCACAGCCACCCCAGTCCAATCCCAGGAATTGGTCCTCTGGCCAGATGCAATTGCCCTCGCCACCCTGTACTCAGACACCCCTTCCGCCCTGCGTTCTATCAGCCCTACTGACCTTTGCCGTCTTCTTGCTACAAAAGGCCCCTTTGCAAAAAGCTCCTGGAGTGTGGGCGTGCCAAAAAGCTTGTTTGCAAAAAAGGAAAAACCCTGGGCAGGACTGGGCTGAACTTCTGCTTTGTGCTGCAGGAAAAAAAAAAAAAAAAGCAAAAAGCCCAGCCCAGCCCTGTCCAAGAGCATTTTGCAAAGGGGCATTTTTGGCACACTGCTGATTAGGTGCTGCTTTTGGGGTGGGATTTTTGTTTTGGTGGTGTGCCAAAAACTAGCTCTGGAGCATTAAGGCTGACCCAGTGTACCTGGTGGCCAAAGGCAGGACCAGTCTACCCACCTTTCCAAGAAGGAGGACCGGTCTATCCATGGAAAATGGAAAGGAGAGGGTTGAAGGGGGCCACAAGGGCCCAGTCTACCTGCCTATCAGGGACAGAGGACCAGTTCCCAGGAGCGGGTTGGTCTACTCACGGGGGAAGAGAAAAAAATGAGGGGGGAGAAAGGGGGTGCTACTTTCTCTCTCTTTTTTTTTGCAGTGTGAAGCAAAAGTCCACTCCAGGAGCTTTTTGCAAAGGGACTTTTTGGAGCAAGGAGATGGCAAAGGTCAGCTGGGATGGTGGAGTGCAGGGTGGTAGGGGGCCAAGAGGCCAGAGATCAGGGGGAGATAGGCAGGTGGGGGGAGTTGAAGCACCCCTGCAATTGTAAGTGCAGGAGGGCTGCCAAGCACCCGAATTTGGATCACGAAAAATGACCATGCGGGCACTCAAATGGCCATAGCTTTGGGCACCAGATGTAAGTCACTTATTTCACACATTTGTAACTTTGAACAGTCGCTGAACATATGATTGTTAAGTCAAGGACTACCTATACATAGTTAATTAAGCAGTCCTCTCTCTAAGCCTACAGTTCACCTTCCCTAGATCAGACTAGCAGCAAACAGAGCAATTAAAATTATGAAGCAATATCCAAAGATGAATGCAGAATCCATATATTTTCCTACCTTCTGGATGTACTTTCTCTCTTGTTTTTGAATTCTTCCAGATTTAAAAAACAAAATTATGCCAGAAGACAGTTTACCTTCAAAATCAGAGTTTAAGGAGAATATTTGGAGAGGGTTTTTTTTTTTTTTTGCAGAAGGAGCTGCTTCAAAGTTGTATTTCTATTTAACAAATTATGCTAATGGAACATTTTATTAATCAATGTCAGTTGATACTATCCACCATCTAACATTTTCTTACATAAATACCTCTTCCTTCTTCTTTGTCATTACAGCAAATACTTTGGTTTGATTGTCCGTGTCCTGGGAAAGGCGATAATGTCCAAGCAGGATTGCATCAGTTCTGAGATTTAGAAGGAAAACATTTCATGCAAATATATTCATTCGAGTGCTAGAAAAAACACTGCTGATGTTAAATTGGATCATAAAATAAATAGGATTTAAATTAATAATGACTAACTTAAATCCCCATGATTCAAAAGGCTTAATCAAATTATAATTAACTCCAGATTCAACCCAGTTTTCTTTCATTAAATAAATAGGATTTAAATTAATAATGACTAACTTAAATCCCCATGATTCAAAAGGCTTAATCAAATTATAATTAACTCCAGATTCAACCCAGTTTTCTTTCATTAAATAAATAGGATTTAAATTAATAATGACTAACTTAAATCCCCATGATTCAAAAGGCTTAATCAAATTATAATTAACTCCAGATTCAACCCAGTTTTCTTTCATTAAAGATAATTTGGTGTTACAATCTTTAAAGTATTTGATCAATGTATATTTTAGTTTAATCATCTAAACAATAAAAAATAATAGTAGCTTTACTGTTCACCAAAGTTTTTCTTCATTAAAAGTATCAGGATCCAATGGACAATACAATTCTATGTTACAGACATTGAATGTACCTTGTGTTTTTAGTCCGTAATCGAGGAACAATAGACTGAGGTTCTTCTGGAGTTGTTAGCATCATTACTTGGCCATCTGGGAAAAATCTCAGGTACCTAAAATAATTGTACAACATTTTACCCATATGGATTTGTTCACAAAAATGTATTAAAAGATAAAAATAAAATGAAGAAACGTCTTTTCCAACATACACATTTTTCTAGTTAAAAATAAATATTAACATACAAATTATAAATGTAAGGATCCAAAAGTCCCTGTACTAACTTCCAAATCTATCTGAATCCATTAAACCTTGCTCGGTTTCATACTGAAATTACAGTAGGTTAGTTATATGTCAGCCTATGCCTGAATTAGCAGCAATATACTCATATGCACCCATTACCCACAAGCAGGTACAGTGAACAAACTCTCAATGGTTTGATGAATCAGGTTTATTGGGACAAGCAAATGTGGAACTCTGGCTTTGTCCACCAAAAGAGCCATTGTATGAGCTATTAGCCAACCAAGAACATTCTGTGTCTTCTGGGTGCAAAGGAAAGTTAGTTTTTTCATGCAGCAGTTCCCAAAGACTCCAAGTATAAAGAAATTATAGTGAAAGAAACTCTGAAATGTCATTGCATACACAGAACATTACCATGGAATACACCAAAAGAACATGGTTCAATAGAATTTCATCAACCATGATGATTCAGTTTTGTTGTTGGAAGAATCCCAGTAGTGGGATATCAGCATGAAGATTAAATACTGGGGTATCAAACTACGATTCAAAAGTATCTCATTTCAGGATGTAATTTGCATAATTTAAACTAGCTCTGTATATTCATAGCCTGAGGGTTATGGAAACTTTAGAGTTTGGAATCCCCAAACAACTTTCTCCTAGTGATTTTTAAATACCTTAGGAATTTCTAAAAACGGAAATATAAACTTTAGTCCTAAAATACATGGCTCCAGTTATCTAAACTACCATGACTTTTTATATACAGGTAATCCTGTTGAATTCACTGTTTATCATGGTTTATAGCATTATATGTGAACTGCACTGGAAGGAAGGCAAGAGAGATAATTAATTCAGTCATTTTAAAATGATTGTACCTGTAATAGTCCACTTGGTGCCATGCCCGATAGAAGCCATCAAGAGACTGTTCTCCTTGACGAATGTATGTTGTCTTGCTGATATATACCCCTATAAAATATGGAGTTACCTGCTTATCATCAAAACATGCTTTAAATATTCAATGACATACATTTTAGGATTCTTTAACAGACAGCATACTACAATTTTCAGTCTTCTTTGCACTATTAATTTACCTGTTATAATTTCATCTATTGCAATTCCTGTATTTATTGGAAAGGATGACAGGTTTTCTCTACAAATAAGTATCTCTAAGTTGGAAAGCCTTCTTATATTTACTAAATAAAGACAGTTGTCCAGGCTAAGGGGCAGGAGGGATATAGAGATATCTACCTACAAATAATACGAGAAAGTGAATATAAGAGAGGCAGGAGAAGGTAAGAAGCATCCTTCATCTTTGGAGGCACTGATTAGTTCTTACCTTCAGTGAGGCAAGAGTTACACAAGTAGCTCCTCCCCCTTTCTTTCTTGTGAAGGGCAAGAATGGGATAGGTGGGACTAGTATGGTCTTGCACCATTCTCCTTTAAATGTGAGAAGATGGTCACATATGGAGTACACATTCCATAATGTCTAAACAGGACAGGCGTTAGGCATACTTGGCTGGGAATAAAAGCCTTTCAACTCATTGGGACTCACACAAAGTAAGCATTCGTGGATTTATGCCTGCAAATATAAAGACTTTTCACAATCTTTCTCTTATCTTTCCTTTCCTGTCTCATCTCTGTATTATTTTGTTTCCTTCCCTCTCTAATTTCTCTTTCCTTCACTTCTCATTATACATGTTTCTTTCCCTCATGCCATTTCCTCTACAGTACTATTCCTTTTTTGTTTCTGTTGGAAGAAAGAGGATATGTGTGAGTGCGTATACTTAAGTGTTTGTATATGAGTGTGCACTCTATGTGCACACAGAGACAAAAGTCAATTAATTTTACAAATGGGGCACTATATTTACAGGTAATTATTTAAAATAATTAATTCAATTAATTTTAACTTTTTTCATGACCCTGTCCTTTATTGGAATGCAGCTTCTGGACACACACACATGCAGAGGCATATACAATTTAAAATATCCTTATTTAATTAAAATTTTCCTTATTATCCAGGAAAACTGTGTCCTTGCCACACCAATTGTTTTGGGGAGGGTTTCATTAGCTCCTCCTATGAAGCTCCTTCCCAGAGTGTATCACACCAAATGCAAATATCACAATTATTCCATTCAGTGATTAAAAAGGCAGTAGGTGTATAAAACTGGGGCTGTGTTGCAATGCCAAAGTATACATTTAGAATGCCAATAAGAGTTAATAGCCCCAAGTATACCCAGTCACATTTCCAACCAATCTGTTTATTTACAATCAGAAACTATTGCTGCAATTATGCAGCTCCTGCTTTTCCTGATTATCATCACAACACTGCTGTTTCTTACCATCAAATCGAACTCTAGGTCTTTTCACGAACATTTCCCTCCATGAGGTATAAGGAACCATTTTATTACATGTCCTGCCCCAAACCTTCAAACAAGCCTGACGCCAGATTTCAGGGTCCCTGGAAAAAGACAGCATAATCTGATTATTCAAATTTTAACATAAACGAGAGTATCAAAATCATAGAGTATACTTGAGTATAAAGAGAAATGACTATTTGTAAGCAGCATGCTTCAGTTGCAACAGGAACCCAACGCAAGACCTATGGGTTTATCCAATGGGATCTATCCACAGAAAGGATTCCTCCTTTTTCTCTTGTTTAGTTCCTCCACACCCTAAATCTGCTTTAAAGAATTAATGGACAAAGGGTCAATAGACTGAAGGGAAGTCCACTGGATGTAATCTTGTATTTTCATCCAAACTATGACACTGTTATTTAACTTGATCCCACTGCTTCTGAAAATCTATCAACCAAGTATCTTCATAGAAATAGTGTTTCTGGTTATCAAAACTGAAAATGATGGTTGTACAGTGCCTTTAAAATGAGACTTTATTATTCAATTGCAAATAAATTCTGAAAAATTGCCCTTAGTATACAAGATTTAGCTCACCCTGCTCCCTCCTGTATAAGTTTTATACTGTGTGTGTGCCCATGCATATGCTTTTAGCTTAATTAGACTGGAGTACAACTACCTTTTCCTGCCTCATTTTACTAAATGTGTAGATCTAGCCTTAGAATCAAATATCACAATCAGAATTATCTTTAAGACTCCTCTCTTCCTGTATATATGAGTGTATAGGTATTATACATGCCAAATCAGGATAATAGATTATGCAACTGATAAAATGAACTTCTCAGACTGCAAAACTTTATAGGCTCACCACAGCTTTGATTCAGAAGTTCAATTCAAAGTCACTTTGACTGAATCTTTGAACTGAATCCAAACTGAATAGGAAGGTCAAAACAACTTCATTTTCCAAATTGATTTGAATAATTGAATTCAATTAGCTCAACAGATGGAATGAAATCAGTTATTTGAAATGAAACCAACCTGCAATCCCCTACCAATTAATTTGTCAGAGCAGAATCCAAAGGCTGCTTAGGGAACTAAAGAGAAATTGCTTCAATACTGTTCCATTAATGGAAACATATCACTGCTTTCCATCATTAATCTTCACACTTCCATAAATTTCTGGGGTTTTTTATACCTGTTTTTTATTTCATTTCTGTTTTACTTTCATATTTTAAAAACTGTATAATCATAAGCTGACCTTAGTTTTCTGGAACAAAATTAGAACAAAAATTAAT